AGAAAGAATTTGGGAGGATTCCTCTCTTTCAATCATTTTGAATAGTTTGAGAAGAATTACAGTTGGTTCTTCTTTAAATGTCTGGTAGAATTCAGCAGTGAATCCATTTGGTCCTAGGCTTTTCTTTGTTGGGAGGGCCTTTATTATTGATTCAATACTGATCTGATTTTGGGTCTGTTTAGGTTTTCTATGTCTTCATGATTCAATTGAGGTAGACTGTATCTATCCATTTCTATAGGTTTCCCAGTTTGCTGCCATAAAACTCTTTGTACTAATTTGATGACTCTTTTTATTTCTGTGGTGTCTGTTGTTACATTCCCTTTTTCATCTCTGATTTTATTGATTTGGGTCTTCTCTCTCCTTTTTTTAGTTAATTGGGTCAATGGTGTGTCAATTTTGTTTATTTTTTCAAAAAACCAGTTCTTTGTTTTGCTGATATTTTGTAATGATTTTTTGGATTCAAATTGTTGGTTTCTTCTCTAATTTTAATTATTTCTCTTCTCCTACTAGTTTTCAGTTTGGTTTGCTGTAGTTTTTCTAGATCTCTGAGATGCATTGATAGCTCTTTTATTTGGTGCCTTTCCAATTTCTTGATATAGGCACCTATTGCTATAAACTTTCCTCTTAACACTGCTTTTGCTGTATCCCATAAGTTTTTTTTTTTTTTTGACAGGCAGAGTTAGACAGTGAGAGAGAGAGAGAGAGACAGAGAGAAAGGTCTTCCTACCATTGGTTCACTCCCCAAATGGCCGCTATGGCCAGCGCTGTGCCGATCCGAAGCCAGGAGCCAGGTGCTTCCTCCTGGTCTCCCATGTGGGTGCAGGGCTCAAGCACTTGGGCCATCCTCCACTGCCTTCCCGGGCCACAGCAGAGAGCTGGACTGGAAAAGGAGCAACCGGGACAGAACCAGCACCCCAACCGGGACTAGAACCCGGAGTGCCGGTGCCACAGGCAGAGGATTAGCCTAGTAAGCCACAGCGCCAGCCCATAAGTTTTGATATGTTGTGTTGTTATCTTCATTTGCTTCCAGAAAGTTGTTGATTTCTCTTTTGATTTCTTCTATGACCCAGTGTTCTTTCATAGCATGTTGTTCAGTCTCCATGTGCTTGCATATGCTCTAGGGATTCCTGAGTTGCTAATTTCCAGCTTCATTCCATTGTGTTCTGAGAAGATGCATGGTATGATTTCAATTCTTTTGAATTTTTGAGACTTGCTTTATGGCCTAGTATGTGGTCAATCCTAGAGTAAGTTCCATGCACTGGTGAAAAGAATGTGTATTCTCCAATGTAGGATAAAAAGTTCTGTACATATCTGTTAGATCCATTTGGTCTATGGTATTGATTAAATCTGCTGTTTCCTTGTTGATTTTCTGTCTGGTTGATCTGTCCATTGCTGAAAGTGGAATATTGAAGTCCCCCCAATACTAGTGTATTGGAGCCTAAGTCTCCCTTTAAGTTCCTTAATATCTTTTAAATAACCCGGCGCCTGTAATTAGATGCATATACACTTATAATAGTTACATCTTCCTGTTGAACTGATCCCTTAATCATTATATAGTGCCCCTCTTTGTCTCTCTTAACAGTTTTTGTGTTAAAGTATATTTTGTCTGATATTAAGATGGCTACGCCAGCTCTTTTTGTTTCTGTTGGCATGAAATATCTTTTTCCAACCTTTCACTTTCAGTCTGCATGCACCTTTGTTGGAAAGATGTGTTTCTTGTAAGCAGCAAATACATGGGTTTTGTTTTTTAATCCATTCAGCCAGGCTGTGTCTTTTAACTGGAGAGTTGAGGCCATTTACGTTCAATGTTACTATTGATTAAGTTTTGACTTTGTCCTGCCATTTTTCCAAAGATATTTCTAATATACTTTGAAATTCCTGTGATCTTTTACTGAGAGATTTTCTTCCTTTAATTTCCTTCATATTGATTACCATGTTTCTGTGTGTAACACATCTTTAAGCATCAACACATCTTTAAGCATCTTTTGCAAGGCTGGATGAGTGGTGACAAATTCTTTCAATTTCTCTTTGCTATGAAAGGTCTTTATTTCACCATTCACAAATGAGAGCTTTGCAAGATATAATATTCTGGGATGGCAGTTTTTTTTCTCTTAGTACTTGAGCTATATCTCACCATTCCCTGCTAGCCTGTAGGGTTTCTGATGAGAAGTCTGCTGTGAGTCTAATTGGAGATCCTCTGAAAGTAATCTGGCTTTCTCTCTTGTACATTTTAGAATCTTCTCTTGGGCCGGCGCCATGGCTCACTAGGCTAATCCTCCGACTTGTGGCGCCGGCACACCGGGTTCTAGTCCCGGTCGGGGTGCCGGATTCTGTCCCAGTTGCCCCTCTTCCAGGCCAGCTCTCTGCTGTGGCCAGGGAGTGCAGTGGAGGATGGCCCAAGTACTTGGGCCCTGCATCCCATGGGAGACCAGGATAAGTACCTGGCTCCTGCTATCAGATCAGTGCGGTGCGCCAGCCGCGGCAGCCACTGGAGGGTGAACCAACGGCAAAGGAAAACCTTTCTCTCTGTCTCTCTCTCTCACTGTCCACTCTACCTGTCCAAAAAAAAAAAAGAATCTTCTCTTTATGTTTCACTGTGGTGAGTTTGATTACAATGTGTCATGGCAAGTATCTCTTCTGGTCGTGTCTACTGGGAGTTCTGTGTGCTTCCTGTACTTCTATGTCTCTTTCTTTCTCCAAACTCAGGAAGTTTTCTGCTAGTATTTCACTAAAAAGGCCTTCTAATCCTTTCTCTTTCTCCATGCCTTCAGGAACCTCTAGAACCCGAATGTTGGGATTTTTAATAGTATTTTGCAGATTCCCAACAGTGCTTTTAGATTTCTAATTTCCTCTTCTTGTCTTGGGTTTGCCTGTATACTTCCCTGTGCTCTGTCTTCTAAGTCTGATATTCTCTTTTCTGCCTCACTGATTCTGTTTTTAAGGCTCTCAACTGTGTTTTTTATTAGTTCTATTGAATTCTTCATTTAATTTTGACTTCTCTTCAATATCTCAATTTCATGTTCTGTTAAATTCCTCACTTCATTTTGATTCCTCCTTAAGATTTCATTTTCATGAGAGAGATTTTCTTTCATGACCTTGAGGATTTCAATAGTTCATGTGTTTGTTTTTGATTACGTCGAAATATTCTTATCATAAGTTTTTTTGAGTTCCATTTCTTGCATTTCTTCTATCTTGTCATCTTCATAATCTTGTTATTGAAGTGTCATGTTCTTTTGGGAGTGTCATGTTGTCTTCCTTGTTCTTGTTTCCTCGGTTTTGGCATTTGTTGTTTGGCATTTGTGGAGATACTCGTTGGTTTCTTCTCTCCCTTCCCCCCTGCTGTTGTGGCTTTTCTTGTTGTACTATGACTCTGTAGATAAGTGGACTGTCTGCTTTCAGTGAATCTCTTAGGCTTGTGGTGGGTGTGGCCAGAGAGCTCTGTTCAGTTCTTCAAGGTTAAAGGTGTGCCTAAGGTGACACACCCAGGTTTGGTGTGGTAAATCTCTCTCTCTCTCTCTTTTTAATCAGAAGGGAAGTAATTCTGCTCTGCTGAGCTCTTCTTCTTGATGGTGATCAGTGCCTGAGCGCTAGCCCAAGTGGAAATGATATTTGTCTGCTCTGTCCCAAGGACCACACAAAGGATCTCTGCAGTCCTCAGTGTAAGCTCAGATTCCCCTGCAATGTCTCTCACCAGGTAGCCAGGGCCACCCAAGCTTGTGGCGTCTCCCACCAAGACTACTCACGTCTCAGTCACACCATGAGTTCTCCCACACAACCTCAGGTGTTGTTTTTTTTTTTCTTTTTTCACAGTCCCAGTTCATAAGCTCCACTCATTCACTAGGTTTAGTCTCCTGTTATTACTCCCCACCAGAGTCAGGTTTTTCTGCTAGACTGATTGCCGGGCAAAGCCCTGAGCTGGCACAGCTGTTACATTATGTCCAAAATGGCGACTGCTCTGTTGGCTCATACACCTTTGTAAGGTAAGTGGAGAGAGAGAATTGTGTCCGTACCGTCCCTTTTATTTTTTCTCTCCTCTAGTTAGGTGGTACACTTTCCCCCACAGGGCTTCAAGCCTCATTCCCTCCAAGCTCTTCCTGCCGTTTTTCAGCCAGTGTCTCGGGCTATTGCAGTTTCATCTCACACCTCTTTCCAGCACTGATACGGAGGCTTTCGGCAGCTGGGGTCCCAAGCTTTGGGTGCCCATGCCTTCCACGTAGATCCACTCTAATTACGGAAGAGTTTCCTCTGCCGTTTTTTTCCCTAACTCTTCCCTGAGACTACACTATCTCCACTCTTATTACACTTTCTTCTCCTGGACTATCAGTAAGTTCCCTCCCTATTTGCCATCTTGGAATCATCTCAGTTGGCACAACTTTTAAAACTTCTAGGGTAAGGATGGTCTTTCTTTTGGGGTAGAAGTTTATCACAGTTAACCAGTTATAGCTTCTGTCAAATAATCAACTACTATTTACATATGACCTCATTCGATTCTCAGAACTCCAGGGTGGGAATTACTATTCTCATTTTAAGACTAAAGAACTGAGGCACGTAGATGTTAGGCATAGTAGGCTAAGCCTCCGCCTGTAGCACTGACATCCCATAGAAAGCACCAGTTTGTGTCCTGGCTGCTCCTCTTCCAATCCAGCTCTCTGCTAATGGCCTGGGAGAGCAGTGGAAGATGGCCTAAAGTGCTTGGGCCTCCTACACCAGCATGGGAGACCCGGCAGATCTGCAGCTATATGGGGAGTAAACCAGTGAATGGAAGACCTTTCTCTCTGTCTCTCTCTCGCTCTGTAACTCTACCTCTCAAATAAATAAATAAAACTTTTAAAAAAAGAAAAGGTTCCATAAAGATCAGTGGCAAAACTATAATAAAAGTAGCTTTAAATGATTATACCCTAATACCTCATTGACATTTACTGAAGTTCATTCATTCAGGAAAAAAAAAAGACACACACACAGAAAATGACACAGGAAATTTTGAAAAAAATGTTGCTTACCACAGAGGAGTTTCCTCTCCCCTTCCGGAGAGAGGCTCCCGGAGCACAGGACCGCAGCAGCTCTTCGTGATCCATGGACATCTGACTGGTATTCCCACTAGAAGGCACATCACATCCTACCCCATATAGGTAAAGAAAGTGACAGGAACTTCTATCTGCCTGCTAAAAAAAGAAAGAAAGAAAAATGAAAAGAAAGCTCTACCAAAGCACTGATCACCAAGAGGAAGAAACACTGCACACGAGTCATCTGCCATTTAAAACATCCTCTCTCTCACTCCCTGTGCCCCACACTGAGCACAAGCAATGTTTGCTCAATGTCTTTGAAACTTCCCTCAGTTTTTCACTCTCCAAATCATCAGAAAGAACAGATGCTAGACATGTAAGTTAGATAGAACACAGACACAGTAAAACACCAACAATGTAAGCCTACTATATGAAAACTACAATGCTATCTCAGTCAATGATAAGTGACAAATATTTATTCTCCACAAGATCTTATTCTCTGCCAAGTCAGTATTAGTGGAAGTTGACTCTTTTGTGACTAAGTTCTTCTGGATCAGAAATTAACACTGGTATTTATGTCAAGTGAATCACAAGAGTGACTCTGCTGACAATAGCACCACAGATTCATTAGTGGATTACTAATGCTTATAGTATGCAGACTATAGCACTTGCAAGGGCATGAAACACTCAAATTGAATGTCTTTTCTCATATTCAGAATAATGCCAAATTCCACTATATTAACCCACCAAGAAAAGCGAGATGTGAATAATCCCACCTCACTATTAGCAAATTTCTAAACAGAAAACTTAGCAAGCTGCATGGTACTGGTAAGAATGTGAGTTTGACACATTGAAGATTTCATTCCTATGATTCTAGGACTCCAGCAGAAAAACTCAGCAAACCAAGCACTCCTAAAATCATACCATAATAGAAAATATTTTAAGCTAATTAATTATAGAAACTGTATGTTAAAAGAAATTTAAGGCTCTTCTCTATAATCCACAATCTCACAATATCTTAACAGTTAAGTATCAAAAAATTTCACTCTATACCAAGAAAAAATTTCATGTCAAGAGGTGAAATCTTTATGGAAGGAAATTAAGTTAGGCTAGATTGAGGACCCTCTCTCTCTTCCCTCCAAGCTTCTTGGGAAGTCACATCCTTTGGGCTAGCTCCGTCCTGAGCTGCTGAGTGAAGATGCAGTGTGCCCCTCAACCTACTTTGGTGACAGCAGCTCCCATGCCTCCTAGGCCTGGTCCTGTGTGTCCTGCTGAACTCAAATAGAATCCATCAACATTGTGGTTTTAAGGCTAAAGTCTCTGAAAACTTTTTAAATGTTAATGTGTCAACTATTGTCCTTTGCACATATGTGAGGGTACTTGAAAGATTTGGTGAAAATTAAGTTGAGCGGGCCGGTGCTGTGGTGTAGCAGATAAAGCCATCACTTGCAGTGCCAACATCCCATATGGGTGCCGGTTTGAGACCCGGCTGCTCCACTTCCGATCCAGCTCTCTACAGCTGTGGCCTGGGAAAGCAGTAGAAGATGATCCAAGTCCTTGGGCCCCTGCACTCGCCTGAGAGACCCAGAAGAAGCTCCTGACTCCTGGCTCCGGATCAGCTCAGCTCCGGCCGTTGCGGCCATCTGGGGAGTGAACCAGCGGATGGAAGACCTCTTTCTCTGTCTCTACCTCTCTCTGTAACTCTGTCTTACAAAAATAAATAAAAATAAAAATAAATAAACTTATTTTTAATTCAATTTTTCCAAGCCTTTTGAAGCATTTTCTTATGTCCCTTATAGGAGGGAAGAGCTGCAGAAGAATCTAATTTGGCTAATAAAGACTTCCTTCATTTTTCCCAAAGCATTCCAAATTTTCTCCCATTTTTCAAATATCACTTTGCTTACCTTATTTTTAAGAAGAAATTTATTCCTGCAGATCAGAATTTCCCGCAACCACTTGAGAATTTCTGTGCTACTAAGCATCTGATGACTAGTTAATTTCTTGCAGATGTAAAAAAGCATCTGTGAGCTGCAGTAACATAAAGTTCCACTATTACTAGCAACATCAATAAATAACTTCATAAGATATCAGTACTTAAGAACGGCATTCTCTCACAATGAGTGTACATTTACAGAAGCTTACTTTCTCTTGTAGGGTTTGCTTTAGAGAAATGGTTATTAACGCATTAATAGTACCATAAACCAAAAGAAATATGTCTATAGGATATATGTAAATAGCAAATACTTATAAGACCCCTACTCCCCAGATTCGTCACGTTTCATCCACAGATCCCATTCTTGCAGGGGTAGGAAGAACTGATAAAGGTGGAGGTGGTGTATAGTCCAGTGCTCTGACTCAAACAACACCTACAGGCCAACCCCAGTCCCCTCCAATTCCTTTTGCAAGTAAAGTTTTAGGGAAACACAGTCTCATCCTTTCATTTGCATGCTGTCCATAGCTACTTTTGTGTTCCAAAAGCACAAAAGCAGAATAGTATGCCAGAGTCTACATGACTCACAAAGCCTAAAATATTTACCATTGGGCTCTTTAGAGGACATGTTTGCTGATTCCTACTCTAGAGCTGCACTCCCTACCATGGTAGCCACTAGCCAGTCATTAGCTACTGAGTATTTTAAATGTGATGTGTTATACATGTAAGACAAACTGAAATATGCTGCAAATGTATGACACAAGCCAAATTATGAGGACTTCATGAAAACAGAATGCAAAGCATCCGCTAAATAATGTTTATATTGATTACGAGTTTAAATTGCATTCTAGATGTATGTGAGTGTATGTACATATACTGGGCTAAATAAAAAATATTATTATAATTAATTTTATGTGTTGATTTTAACTTCTTAAAGGCAGAGTTACAGAGGAAGTAGAAGGACAGAGAAAGGTCCTCCATTCACTGGTTTACTCCCTAAACACTGAAATAGTTGGGATTGGGCCAGGCCATAACAAGGAGCTTCATCTGGGTCTCCACATGGGTGCAGAGGCCCAAGTACTTGGACCATCTTCTGCTGCTTTCCCAAGTGCATTAGCAGGGAGCTGGATTGGAAGTGGAGTAGCCAGAATTGGAACCAGCACTCATATGAGACGCTTAACTCACTACACCACAACACTGGCCCCTCTTTTTATTTTTTAATGTGGTAACCAGAATTCATTAAAGTACACTGTGATTTATGTTATTATTATTGAATAGCACTGCCCAGGTTCAGGGTTTAATTTAAATGCCAGGTGACTTGGGGCACCCATTTCTATGATAGTAGCATAAACTTTAGGTTACAAATTTACATTTTCCTTATGTGGGGTCCTTATGCTCATAAAAAGGTAATTTATATAACCTAGAAAACAATATAAAATACTGCACATATTTTTGCCTTTTAAGCAGATTTCCATTATTAATTCATTCATCAAAAGTACTGGTATTACAGAAAAATTTGTGAAAGGTTATAGTTTAAAAACAAAGAGCAGCATCACTTCTCAGCCTTTTGGCCAAGATCAAGTGTAAAAACCAAGAGCACAATATTACAAGACTTTAACAATCTAGACTTATAAGTCTAAAAATCTATCAAAGACAAAGTTGTGGGGCTGCCGCTGTTAGTGGGTAAAGCTCCTATCTGCAGTGCCAGCATCTCATATGGGCGCCGGTTTGAATCCCAGCTGCTCCACTTCTGATCCAGCTCTCCGCTATGGCCTGGGAAAGCAGTAGAAGTGTTTGGGCCCCTGTACCCATATGGAAGACTCAGAAGAAGCTCCTGCCTTTGGATTGGCCCAGCTCTGGCCATTGTGGCCATTTAGGGAGTGAACCAGCAGATGGAAGACCTCTGTGTCTCTCTCTCTCTGCCTCTGCCTCTCTGTAATTCTCTGCCTTTCAAATAAAATAAATAAATCTTTAAAAATAAAAACAAAGTTGTAACTACATAGATATTGAACTAGAACATACCAAATGACAGTACTTAAGAATGGGTGATAAAATTTAACATGCTTTTTGAAAATTTATTTCATAAATTGCTCTGCTAATATTCTTAAGAGTCAAAACGAGAAAGTCTAACAATTTCAAGTCAAATAAAATATAAATTCATAAATCTTCTGGATAAATAAAGGTTTACAAGGAACTAAATACCATAGAGCTAATATTTAAAGACAGAAAATAAAGTTTTAAAAATATAAAAGTACACATACCTAATCTCCCAAAAAGTTTCCACAGGAGCATCGGGATTCCACAAATCAATGCTATCTAACTGATGAAGAACCAACAGAGCCTGAATTTAAAAGGAGAGAGAGAAAGAGAGAATAGTCACTCAAAATGTTTTTGGTAAACATGAGTACTGCAGTATTTTACAAATGCTAACAAAATGATCTATCTAACGGTACTCAATCTACAATAAATGCCAAAAAGAGAAAAACTGAACACAAATCTCTAGACAGAATAACATCACTTTATTCTAGGCATTCTTACTCCAAATGGAACGTACACATAAAGTGACTGATGAGTTCTGAATAACATATATGCATAAAATCTGTATTAAGAAAGAAGCAAAATGATTTTGAGAAATACTTTTAAAAACTCTATAGAACAAAAACTTAATCCCCAATAAGCAGTGTTTGCCACAATTAATCTACATTACAAAATAAACTCACACAGCAAAGAATAAAGGAGACATTATCTTGCTTGCCACAGTTTTCTTATAACAGAAAAGACAGGTAAGAACTAGATGCCAGGAAGTCCATCCGGGACTTCCAGTTGGGCGGCAGGGACCAAGTATTTGCGCCATCATCTGCTGCCTCCCAGAATGTACATTAGCAGCGTGTTGAACCAGAAGCATAGGCGTGAAGTGGTGAACTGATCCTAGCCACTCTAATACGGGATACCAGTGTTCCAGGTGCAGCGTAAGCTGCTACATCACAGTGCCCTCCCCAGCAGAACAATTAACAGTGGTTATACCATTACCAGCGCCCAACTAGCAGAGTGTGAATAAAAATATAGTATTGTTACTTGACATTTCATAAATCTTTTTGTTACTGATTTCTACCTTAATTCCACTGTGATCAACAAAAAAAGAATTATTTCAACCCTTTGTAACTGCTGAATCTTGCTTCATGATCACGCTGTAGCAAATGTTCTATGTGTACTTGAAAGCAAAATTCCATGTGTACCTGAGTGCAGGATGCAATCATGTCAAATAGGTCAAACTTGGTAATCATGCTGTCCAAAGCTTCTATTCCTTATCTTATTTTTAAAATTCTATTTGATTCTGAGAAAGGTATACTCAAGTATCCCACTATAACTGGATCTGTATATAGCTCCTTCAACTTAATATATTTTTATATATTTTAAGCTTTATAAGTTATTGTTTTATTTATTCTGAAGCTTTGTTTAATAGACTCATCTAGAGTTTTATTTTCTGAATGGACTGGGCCCCTTGGTAGTAAGATATCCTCTTCATCTCCAGTAAGGCTTCTTGCTTTAATCTGTATCTATATATTATCTCTGTATCTATATATTATACCAGGCTTCTTGAGTTAGTATTTGTATGCCATATTTTTCTATCCTTGCACTGTTTAACTTCCAGAGGCTTTAATCTATAGCCCTTATAAACAATACACAGTAAGATTTTTCTATTCCTAGGTATTCACCCAAGAGAAACAAAAGCCTATGTCCATGGCCGGTGCCGTGGCTCAATAGGCTAATCCTCTGCCTGCGGTGCCAGCACCCTAGGTTCTAGTCCAGTTGGGGAGCCGGTTCTGTCCTGGTTGCCCCTCTTCCAGGCCAGCTCTCTGCTGTGGCCCGGGAGTGCAGTGGAGGATGGCCCAAGTGCTTGGGCCCTGCACCCGCATGGGAGACCAGGAGAAGCACCTGGCTCCTGGCTTAGGATCAGCATGGTGCGCCGGCTGCAACGGCCATTAGGGGGTGAACCAATGGAAAAAAGGAAGATCTTTCTCTCTGTCTTTCTCTCTGTCTACTCTGCCTGTCAAAAAAAATAATTAAAAAAAAGCCTATGTCCACAGATTTGTAGATAAATGTTCCTAGCAGCTTATTTGTAATGGCCACAAACTGGAAACACAAATGTCCATCAATAGGTTAATAGGTATACAAATACTACTACCACACAAAGGACTAGTACACAACATAAAATGGAATAAATTTTAATAATCAGAATGAACTACTGACACAGCAACATACATGATGGCTTTAATTACGTTTTGTTGAAGAAGACAAAAAGAACACATACTTCATGATTCTACTTATATAAAATGTAAACTAAATTTTAGCAACAGAAAGCAGATGAGAGGTTCCAAAGAAGGCAAGGTGTAAGCAGGGTAAGGAGGAATGGGGGAGGGAAGGACTACAAAGAAATAGAAACTGGGGCCGGCTCTGTGGCTTAGAGAGTTAAGCCGCCACCTGCAGTGCTGGCATAACATATGAGTGCCAGTTCTAGACCCGGCTGCTCCACTTCTGATCCCAGTTGCTGCTATGGCCTGCAAAAGCAGTAGAAGATGGCCCAAGTCCTTAAGCTCCTGCACCCGTGTGGGAGACCCGGAAGAAGCTCCTGGCTCCTGGCTTCAATCAGCGTAGCTTCGGCAGTTGCGGCCAACTGGGGAGTGAACCAGCAATGGAAGACCTCTCTCTCCCTGCCTCTCCTTCTCTCTGTGTAACTCTTTCAAACAAATAAGTAAATCTTAAAAAAAAAAAAAAAAAAAAAGGAATACAAACTAATTTTCCCCAGTGATGGATATATTTACCTAAGTGCCAGCCCATCAACAGGTGAATGAACTGCAGTATAATCCTCAATGGGATTCTTACTGTTATGGTTTGAACATGATTTGGCTCCTGCACTCACGCAGTCATAAGTTGATGGTACTAAGGGGACAGACGTGTAATGCAATTACAGCATTTGGGGGGATGGGCTTAACCGGAGGTGCCTTGGATCATGGGGGTATGCCAGTCATTCTCATTGGAGGGTGTGGTTATGGGGCCTGAGTGAGGCCCACAGTCTTTCTCCACTTCCTGTCTTGCTACATGATCGTTCCTCCAAACTCACTCTGCCATTGCCATTCACCACCCTCACCTCACACCTAACCAACGGGGTTATCTGATCTGGAACTTAACCTTCCAGAAACGTAAGCCAAAATAAAGTTTTTCTCTTTTTAAGTTAGCCACCTCAGATATGAATATTTCATTATAGTAATAAAAACCTAGTATACTTGTTAACAACAAAAAAATGAAGGAACAAACAATACAACATGAACAAAATTCAAAAACCTTGATGAGGGGCCAGCACTGTAGCATAGCAGGTTAAGTTGCTGTTTGCGATGCTGGCATCCCATATGGGTGCTGGTTCGAGTCCCAGCTGTTTTGAGACCTGGCTGCTCCACTTCTGATCCTGCTAAGGCACTTGGGAAAGGAGCAGAGGATGACCCAAGTCCTTGGGCCCCTACACACACATGGGAGACCCAAAGGAAGCTCTTAGCTCCTGGCTCAACCCAGCAGATGGAAGAGCCCCTCTCTCTCACTGTAACTCTGACTTTCAAATAAATAAATAAATCATAAAAAATATTTATTTATTTATTTACTTATTTGAAAGTCAGAGTTACACAGAGAGAGACAAGTAGCAGAGAGAGAAAGGTCTTCCATCCACTGGTTCACACCCCAGTTGGCTGCAACACCCAGAGCTGCACCAACCCGAAGCCAGCTTCTTCTGTGTCTCCCATGCAGGTGCAGGGGCCCAAGGACTTGGGCCATCTTCTACTGCTTTCCCAGGCCACAACAGAGAGCTGGATCAGAAGTGGAGCAGCCAGGACTCGAACTGGCACTCATATGGGATGCCAGCACTAGAGGCTGCGGCTTTACCCGCTACCCCACAGAGCTGGCCCTAATAATATAAATCTTAGAAAAAAAATGGTGAGTAAAAGAAGTGTGACAAATAAAAATATATTTTCTGCGATTACATTCATAGGAATTCTAGACTAAAATTGGCCCAGAGCAACAGAAATAAGATCAGTGGTTGTCTGACATAGGGGATAATGTTATTAATTGAAAAAAGATGAACAGGTATTTCCTATAATGATTAGAAATATTGTAAATCCTCAATGATTTTATCATATGTAAGTTATGGCTTAATAAAATTTATTTAAATTAAAACCATTTATCAAGTAATATAAAAAGGTTTTTTTTCTATTTTTTTAAACATTTATTTATTTACTTGAAAATCAGAATTACACAGAGAGAGAAGGAGAGGCAGAGAGAAAGGTCTTCGATCCACTGGTTCACTCCCCAATTGGCTGTAACAGCCAGAGCTATGCCGATCCGAAGCCAGGAGCTTCTTCCAGGCTTCTCACCAGGTGCAAGGGTCAAGGACTTAGGCCATCCTCCAACACTTTCCCAGGCCACAGCAGAGAGCTGGATCGAAGTGGAGCAGCTGGGACACAAACCAGCGCCCATATGGGATGCCAGCACTGCAGGCGGCAGCATCACCTGCTATGCCATAGCACTGGCCCCAAAAAGTTTTTTTCCCCCCTTTTTTATTTATTTATTTATTTTTTGACAGGCAGAGTGGACAGTGAGAGAGAGAGACAGAGAGAAAGGTCTTCCTTTGCCATTGGTTCACCCTCCAATGGCCGCCACGGCCGGCGCGCTGCGGCCGGCGCACCACGCTGATCTGATGGCAGGAGCCAGGTACTTCTCCTGGTCTCCCATGGGGTGCAGGGCCCAAGCACTTGAGCCATCCTCCACTGCACTCCCAGGCCACAGCAGAGAGCTGGCCTGGAAGAGGGGCAACCGGGACAGAATCCGGTGCCCCGACCGGGACTAGAACCAGGTGTGCCGGCGCCGCAAGGCGGAAGATTAGCCCAGCGAGCCGTGGCGCTGGCCAAAGGTTTTTTTAAAAGTCAGATTCATTTACACCCAGCAGGATGGTTATAATAAAAATGACAGAAAATAACAAATATAGGCAAGGATACAAAAATATAAGAATCATCATACATTTCTACTGGGAATATAAAATGGTGCAGTCACATTGGCAGTTCCTCAGGAGTTAAACAGTTATCATATGACCCAGCAATTCCATTCCCAGGTATATCCCTAAGAGATACATCCACATACAAATCATTAAGACAGATGTTCATAGTGATATTATTCAGAATAGGCAAAAAGTGGAAACCACCCCAAATATTCATCAGCTGATGCAATATCCATAAATATTTTATATTTGATAATGAATACCTAATGAAAAGAAATAAAGTACTGATTCACGGATAAACCTTGAAAACATTATTAAGTCAAAATAGTCAGACATAAAACGTCACATATAGCATGATTCTATTTAAATAAAATGTCTAAATTAAGCAAATACATACAGACAGAAAATAGACCAGTGGTTGCCAAGGGAAGGGAAATGGACAATGGTGAGTGATGGAGTTTCTTTGTAGGATAACAATATGTTCTGGAATTAAAAGTGGTTATGATTATAGAACTGTGTGAATATATTAAAATCCACTAAAATGTATACTTTGAAATGGTGAACTTGGAACAAACATTTAGCCTAGAGGTTAAGATGCCTATATCTCCTATTAAAATGCCTGGATTTGGGGCCAGCGTTGTAGTATAATGGGTAAAGCTGCCACCTGTGATGCCAACATTCCATAGAGGTGCTGGTTCAAGTCCTGGCTACTCCACTTCCAATCCAGCTCCCTAACACACCTAGAAAAGCAGTGGCAGACAGCCCAACTCCTAAGGCCCCTGCACCCATGTGGGAGACTTGGATGGAGCTCCTAGTTCCTGGTTTTGGCCTGGCCCAGCCCTAGCCACTGTGGTCATTTCGGGAGTGAACCAGCAGATGTAAGATCTCTCTGCCTCTCTGTAACTGTGACTTTCAAATAAATAAATAAATCAGAGAGAGAAAAAATTGTCTGGGACTGAATCCCTGCTCGGACTCCCAAGGTCTCTACCCATTCAGACCCTGGAAAGTAGCAGGTGATGATGGCTCAAGTAATAGGGTCCCTGCTATCCACTCAGCCTGGACTGAGTTCTTAGTTCAAGGTTCTGATTCTAGCACAGCCACTGCAGGCATTTAGAGAACGGGCCAGCAGATGGAGGTGCTCTTTCTCAAACAGAAAGCAAACTGGTAAACTTTTAAAGTATATGAATTATGTCTAAATTTAAAAAGTCAATATACATTCAAAAATTCAATTGCAATTAGAGAATTTTGAACTTTTTTATTAAGCCTAAGAATTTACATAATGTTGTAGCTACCTGGATATAAAGCTAACCCCCTTCTTTCTACATGCAGTTTTTTTTTTTATCTTTTATTTAATGAATATAAATTTCCAAAGTACGACTCATGGGTTACAATGGCTTCCCCCCCCCATACCGTCCCTCCCACCCACAACCCTCCCCTTTCCCACTCCCTCTCCCCTTCCATTCACATCAAGATTCATTTTCGATTATCTTAATATACAGAAGATCAGCTTAGTATACCTTAAGTAAGTATTTCAACAGTTTGCTCCCACACAGAAACATAAAGTGAAAAATAATAGATGATTTTTTTAAATGATCTACATGCAGTTTGATAAAACAATGTGAAGATACAAACACATCATTTTTAGAAATGACATCTTACTCACAGAAGCCACACACCAAAGGAACATGAGTAATGTACTTTGTTAGAAGCTTACCTTCCTGAGTCTAGAACCGTTTTTCCCCCTTACCTCCATCGCTTCCTGAGCAATCTCTGGCATGTGTGACTGAGGGACCAGTTGCACTAGTCCTGTAATTAATTCTGCCGTACTGCCTTGGGTCTCAGGCCCCTGTTTCCTTGGATTCTGAAATGGAAAAAAGCAAACTTCAACTTAAAAACCCAACTGACTGAGATTAGGAGGAGGAAAGAACAGAGTGCAACTACCCCAGAGTACAGGCTCTCTTTCAGGACTGATGAAAATGGTATAGAATTAACAGTGATGATGGCCGTAGAACCTAGCAAATACACTACAACCCACTGAACTGTACACTTCAAAATAGCAAATTTGGTGGTATTTGAATTATATCAAAATAAGCATTTTTACAAAAATCAACACTGTTTTATTAAGGATTCTCTTAACCTACATCTATATATGCTCATTAATATGAAGAATATTCAGGGGCAAATCTTAATTAAAAGAACACAAAAGCCAAATACCAACTTGTTGTTTAAGAAATTATATCAGTAACATGGGGGATAAATACCTCTGGTTTGGAATTTTTTGATTTTTGAATATATAAATGATTGTGAACAAAGGCAAAGAACAAACAAGTTAGATGAGCACTGCATGATTATCCTACATAGCTCTCTTGTCCAATACAGAAGTCCTGTACAAATCCATACAGCTAGTGTCACAGGGAGGGTGAGAATCCTCCCCAGAGACCCATATTTTTAGTCCTTATCACAGCAGAAAAAGACCATATACTAAGAAAATTAATAGTATATATAAATTTTAATGCTTATCTACTGAGACTTAACACGCTTCTCCTAACTTGAAAGCATCTATTTTTATTTCAATAATACCTGACTCATTTAAGTGAGGTTAACACAATTTCAGTTCCTATTTTTCTTTCCTAACCACAGATTGTTCCCCATTTTAATGACTAAGTAAGCCATAACTTCAGTATATCTGTAATTCAAAATTGTTAGCCTATTTTCTGACATTTACATTGTCATCCATAACCCAGTAACATTTCGTAAACACCAAAAACACAACAACAATAAAATGTGTCACCTGACCTCCAGGATTAGTAGTCTCATGGGGAAAGCAAACATCTATAGAATAATCAGACAGATCTAACATCTAATAGGAGATAAGAGCTGTAGAAGTATGTGCCACTGATAGCCTGTGAATGTGGCCCAGTCAGTGAAGCTTTCTTGGAGCAGTGATAATACCTTAGAATATGCAGGAATTACTACACTGAAAGGAGAGGGAAGGGGATTCTAGGCAGAGGGAAAAGCCTGTGAAAGGCAGGTATGAAGGAATATGGTCAGGAACTGAAAGAAAGGCCATCATGACTAGAATCGGTAAGTCAGAAAAAAATGCAACGCTAGATGTGGAAGAAGTGGTAGGTGAAAAGACACTGTATCTGGTGGAATGAGAAGGCCATGCCAAGATGGTCATTGGCAAGTGAGCATCAGTTACTTAGGAATGGCTTCGAAACCCACCTGGCAACGGAGCCTGCCTGGCAACAGGCTGTGATTGGTTAGGGCATAAACCACCCCTTGACTGGATTGGCTACCTCAGCTATATAAGCTGCTGTACCAACTGAAATAAATGAGTCTGTGGGCTGCTCGCCTCTGGCCTGCTTTCACCCAACTCCCGGGGTCTGTGTGGTGACTCTGTGCCTCTTGCCCCCACTGCGCTTCTCCTCTCAAAACGAATCCACAGCAACAACTGTATGACCTTATGGGTCTATGTGGAGTTTGGTCTTTTTCCTAACAGCAATTTAAACTAAAGAGTTTTAAGTTGGGCAGTGGACCTTAAAACACCTGGTTTTTGGGCCAGTGCCATGGCTCACTTGGCTAATCCTCCACCTGCGGCACCGGCACCCCGGGTTCTAGTCCCAGTTTGGGCGCCGGTTCTGTCCCGGTTGATCCTCTTCCAGTCCAGCTCTCTGCTGTGACCCGGGAGTGCCGTGGAGGATGGTCCAAGTGCTTGGGCCCTGCACCTGCATGGAAGACCAGGAGGAAGCACCTGGCTCCTAGCTTGAGATCGGCGCAACACGCTGGCTGTAGCGGCCATCTTGGGGGTGAACCAACAGAAGGAAGACCTTTCTCTCTATCTCTCACACTAACTGCCTGGGGAAAAAAAAAAAAAAAAACCTGGTTTTTAAAGAGCTCATTGTGATTAGGGCAATGTAAGAAATGATACAAGCTACTAGTTAAGACTGGATGGAAAGCCACCTCTCATACCACACTGTCTAGTTTCAAGTACTGACTCTGCTGCCAATAAAGCTTTTTGCTAATGCCCACTCTGGAAGGCAGCAGATGATGGCCAAGTAATTACCACCCACACATGAGACTGGATTGAGTTTTTGGCTCTGGGGTTCAGATTGGCTCAGCCCCAATTATTTCAGCCAATCAGAGAGTGAACAAGTAAATGGGAGATCTCTGTCTGCTCCTCTCTCTTCCTTTGAAACAAATAAAGTAATGACTAAATAAAAGAAAAGGGGGTCCACGTCACAGCACAGCTGGTTAAGTCACTGCCTGCAGCACTGGCATCCCACACTGGAATACCAGTTTGAATCACAGCTGCTCCATTTGTAATCCAGCTTCCTGCTAATGTGCCTAGGAAGGCAGCATAAAATGACCCGAGTATTTGGGCCCTTGCCACCCATGTGTGAAACCAGGATGGAGTTCCTTGTTCCTGGCTTCAGAGTGGCCCAGACCTAGTTGTTGCAGCCCTGAGGAGTGAACCAGAGAATGGAAGATCTCTGTCTCTCCCTCTCTCTAACTCTGCCTTCCAAGTATATAAATAAATCTTTTTAAAAAATAAATGATACAAGCTGAGCAATTAAAAAACTTGAAAAATCGAGTGTAACATGGATTGGGACTGAGATGAAAAATAGAGAAGGCAACAAAACCTTATGATATTAAAGATACCATAACTGAGAACATTTAATAATTATTCCTGCCATCCCTCATACTTACTGAGACTTAGAATTTTTGTATGTAAAACATTAAATAATGAAATATTTATAAGGCATCCTTCACTGGTTTAAACTGTGGTTCCTTTAAGAAAAGTTACATAACCACTAGATGGCAGCAAAGAAAACAATTTAAATGACCCTTGGAAAACAGTAAATTTTATTTAAATTCTTGTCCTTCAAATGGTAATATATTTAACATAAAAGATATTTGTGACTTTTGGTGCATTCTCTGAACCTGAATTAAAGCCATATAAACAAAGTAATGCTAATATTATGTGACATGTATAATGAAATATCATCAGAAATAACTTGTGCTACATAAAGAATTGAGTCTCATTGACAGGTCTTCTGAAAGTTTTCCACACCAGAGATCTAGCTATTTATTTTATTAAACTCTCAGATTGCTGTGGGCTTTTCATAAAGTTCAAAATATCACTAGCTGCCTTTTGAGGTCACTGATTCTTATGGAAATCCTGTTTTCTTCATTTCAGAAAAATCACTAACTTAAAAAAATCAGGAGATTCATAGAACCCCTAAAAATATGCACATCTAGCTATGAAACTCTGTATCACAGTAATTTAAAAACATGCCACCAAAATGGAAAGCACTCTACCACTTAAAAATCCTGTTACTGAACAAAGCAATAAGAAAACTTAGTAGCTGCTCTCCTGGGACTGCAGAAACTCAACAAAGGTTGAATATGCCGTCCTATGAACTTTATAATATAGAACTGCGACATTTGGGGCATTAATAATGCTAATTCTATCTTATTAATAGTAACAACAGGTAATAGGTGATACTTATTATGCATTATACAGTATTCCTAAAAGGCTTACATGTGCTATCTTCAGTCTTAACAACCTCTCTGAGGTAGGAATGGTTATAACCCCCATATTTCAGAAGAGAAAACCAAGGCACAGAAAATGAACAGCTAGGAGGTAGTCTTTCTCCAGGGTGCACACCAATGCAACTATCTCACACTTAGAGCATTTATACCAGCCCTCATTTTCTCTGTGTACCACAGTGATGTTCTCAGGAACCTAACTCCAGGTGAGGCAGTAAGGGCAGGCTATTCTCCAAATACCGCATTTACAGGCAGAGCCACCAATAAAAGGAGGCTGAGAAGAGGAAGGCAGGGCAACAGAAAAGCTGAAGTGTGTGGCAACACCAACTGGAGATTAGGAAAAGCAGGAGAGCAGAGGCAGAAAGCGCTGCTTCATAGTTGCTTCATGACCTCCACTCCATCCCAGGATGATGCCTGCAGGATGCCCAGCCTGGTCACAGTGAGACAGCGAAGCTCTCACCAAAGTATACCAGTTTCATGACAAGGCAAAGTAGCAAGAAAGGTTCAGAAATCGGACCTAATTCTATCAGGATTCTTGTAAGTTAGTTTTCTTTTCTTTTCCTTAAAGACTTATTTATTCATTTGAAAGAGTTACAGATAGGGGCCGGCACTGTGGCTCAGCAGGTTAACGCCCTGGCCTGAAGCACCGGCATCCCACATGGGTGCCCAGCTGCTCCTCTTCTGATCCAGCTCTCTGCTATGCCCTGGGAAAGCAGTAGAAGATGGCCCAAGTGCTTGGGGCCCTGTACCCACGTGGGAGACCTGGAAGAAGCTCCTGGCTCCTGGCTTTGGACTGGTGCAGTTCCGGCCATTGCAGCCAAATGGGGAGGGAACCAGTGGATGGAAGACCTCTCTCTCTCTCTCTGCCTCTCTTCTCTCTGTGTAACTCTGACTTTCAAATAAGTCTTAAAAAAAAAAAAAAAGTTACAGACAGAGAGGGAGAGACAGAGACAGACATTCCTGCTACTAGTTGGTCCCTGCCACCAGTGCTGGGGCAGGCTGAAGCCAGGAGCTTCATCCATGTCTCCCACATGGGTCACAGGGGACTAAGCACTTGGGCCATCTTCGACTGCTTTTCCTAGGCCACTAGCAGGAAGCTGGATGAGAAGCAGATCAGCCAGACACAAATCGGTGTCCATATGGGATGCCAGTATCGCAGGCAGCAACTTTACCTACTATACAACAATGCCAACCCCTAAGTTACTTTTCTTAGGGATATCTCAGGTTTCAGATATGATCAGAAAGATATTAGCAAAGGTGTTCTTTACTTAATGACTATTTTAACATCTCAGCATTCCCATTAATCCAATGTAAATTAGTGAAATAACGTCAAAGGATTTCATAAAAATACTTACACAAAGCAAGAGCTTTGGATCCGCATGAATCAGTTTCACCATAGACAAGAGCAGATATTTATAGCTTCTTGTCTCCAGGTCTGTAGGTTTTTCTTTAAATTTAAGGCTTGTTACTTTTTCTTTAAAAGTAAGACTCTAAAAACAAAATATGAACATGGCAACACCTTATAAGAATCAGATATCATATTCAGGGTAACAATTTTTCAACTTTTTAAAAGAAATGAATTATTAAAAAGTTTTGAAAAGTAAACAGATATATTTTATACCACCAAATGTGTGGTATTGGTAGAAACACTCAACAGGAAGCATAAAGTTAATACTATTAAGTTTAAAAAAAGAATGAAAAATATCTGTACCACTCATATCCTTATATAATCAATCTAATAATATTTAATGAAAATCTATTAAAATAATAAAAACTTAATATCTGGTTGACTCCTAACATAAAAAACAATTTTTCACACAAGGAAACACAAGGGAAAATATTTTATCTACAGTTTCACAAATCCACACAGTGGGCAACTCATTTAACAAACACTTAGTCACACATATATGCAAATATTTCATAGATTCTACAACCTATCAGTTGTAAGAAATACTATTATTTGATGTACCCAAAGGAATGAGAAACTATGATCATTTTATGATATGATACAAGACACATCTCCAAATTGAAAGAGTGAAAACGTGTGCTTCTGAGAACTGATGAAATATGCTATACAGAGTACCTCCATGTTTAACAGATTAACTGTAATTTTGCTTTTGATGGCATTCCATCTCTCTTCAAAGTGACAGCCTGCATGCATTCTACCTAAAAACCATTCATAAAACAGAGAGAACGCTTTGAGAAAGATTAAATCATGGAGCACATGTTTGGAGGGCAGGCATTTTGGCACAGTGGGTAAGAGCCACGTAGGACATCCACATCCCATATGAGTGCCTGCATCTGAGTCCCGCCTCTGCTTCTGACTCCAGCTTCCTGCTAGTGCACACCCTGGGAGGCAGCTCAGGTTCTTGGGTCCCTGCCACCTACACGGATGCCCAGATCAAGTTTCTGACTCCCAGATTCTACCTCGTCCAGCCCAGGCTGTTGCTGGATTTGGGGAATCAGCAAATAGAAAAATCTTTGTGTCTCTGCCTTTCAAATAAGTAAAAATTAAAGAAAATGTGTTTCAACCAAAGATACTATAGTAAACTATCATAATTAATTATGGATGTTATTCAACCAAAATTCTAACAAGTATATTCTGGATGCAATATCACCTTTTTCTCTATTCTTATAAAATATTTCCTCTGTTCCTTTAAAAGACATAGAATATCTGATTTTGACATGGATTCCTTCATATGAGTATACCACAAATGAAAATAACACACTAAGCACCATCTATCACCCATATGAAAATCTCCAAGTAAACAGGCTCTTCCCCACCCTCCCCCCCACCCCCAGGATGTATTTATTTATTTAAAAGACAGAGTTACAGGGGCGGGAGTTGTGGTGTAGTGGGCTAAGCTGCTGCCTGCAATGCAAGCAACCCATATGGGCACCAGTTAGAATCCTGGCTGCTTCACTTCCAGTCCAGCTCTCTGCTGATGCACCTGGAAAAACAGCAGAGCATGGCCCAAGTGGTTGGGCCCCTGTACTCATGTGGGAGACCAGGTAGAAGCTCCTGGCTCCTGGCTTTGGCCTGGCCCAGCTCCAGCCATTGCGGACATTTGAAGAGTACACCATCAGATGGAAGATCTCTCTCTCTCTGTCTCTCCCTCCCTCTCTCTCCGCAACTGTGCCTTTTAAATAAATAATTCTCTTTAAAAAAAAAAAGTCAGAGTTACAGAAAGAAAGAGGGAGACAAAGAATGATCTTCCATCCACTGGTCACTCCCAAAACGGTCCCAATAGTCAGGGATGGGTAGGCCAAAACCAGGAGCCTAGAATTCCATCTGGGTCTCCCACATGGGTGGCAGTAGCCTAAGCACTTGGGCCATCTTCTGCTCCTTTCCCAGGCACATTAGCAGGGAGCTAAGTCAGAAATGGAGCAGCCAGAACTTGAACCAGCACCCAAATGGGATACCAGCAACAGAGGTGGTAGCTTAACCTACTGTACAACTCCAGCCCACAAGCTGTCTTTCACAGATAAAATATGGAGATGGATATCTGTATCACACAGTAACTATCCTCAATATTCAAGTGTGCACATTGCATTGCTATTATAAACAAGGACAATGAAAGCTTTTGGTTCTGCAAAGGAAAGAATAGTTATTTAATGAACAGATTTATGCTCATATATGTCATTCAAGAAACAAACTAACACAACATATGTTTGCTGTCATATTAATAACACTCAAGGCAAACTGACAAATGCATTTAATAAATTCTGTTTCAAGTGTTTGCTCCCACTAAATTATAATTTTTTCTAAGTCAAGGTGTTATACCTTAAGTCAAGGTGAAATCTTCATTGAGAATTTATTTACTATGATGTAACTAAATGTAACCATCAAATTGTTCTTATATACAGGAATGTAAGAATTGAAAAAAATTAGCAGATATAAGAATGATCTCTTAGCAATCATTTCCAAAAACATAAATATTAGTTTAATTATGTCATCTCTTAATCTCAATTATCAGCTATAAAATTTCTTCTAGCACATCTACCTAATGAAATTTAAGACTTGAAAAATTCCAGTAAATCTATTTAATTCAAATAGCTTTTCATGTAATGACCATAAGTGATTATATATATAAAGTCAGGAAAAATTTACTAAATAAGAACTGTAATTCATTAATCAGAAATGTAAGGGGAAATAATTCATTCATTAATTTTTAAACTGAGCCTCCATACTGCAGATATCAGTGGGAACTCGGGCTGGTATGTGTACTCTGACCAAAGATGGGGGGCAACCACGTCTGGAAAGAAATTCATGAGCCAAAGTCTTCAGGTATCTCTTAAGGGCCTGTAACACTTACAAAGTAAGACCATATGACTCAATTTTTAGGCATGCAAGAAGCATTTGCTGAGCCAGGATACTCATTTAAGACAAAAAATGCTCAGCAATTACACACAGCTGTGAAAATCCATACATCTAATATTGGCAGGCTTTCATTTTACAAAAACAGATCTTAGGTTTAAAATAGGAAATGATTAGTACGAAGACAAATGTTTCAAATGTTAAAGAATACTACAAAAGTGCAAAGGAAGTTGAAACTATCATTCAATATTCATATGAAAAAAGCTAAAGAGCTGAAATGACTCAAAGTCCAACCTGAGACAATAATATAATCTTATATGATACTAACAGAAAATTGGTATCCAAACATAGGAGGTTGATAGCTTCATCCATTATCATACCCCAGTTGAAACGTGAACACATCCTGTAATACAGTGGTTCTCAACTAAGAGCAATGTGTTCTCTAGGGTACATCTGAAAAATGTGTAGAAATTTTTGGGTTTTCAAAAATGGAAGGGGTGCTATTGGCATCTGGTGGGTAGAGGCCAGAGGTGCTCTAAACACCCCACAACGTACAAGAACAGCTCCCCACAGCAAAGAGCTTAGTCCAACATGTCAACAGTGCCAAGGCTGAGACGGAATCCTGGAGTAAGGTGTTATCTCTACATCACTTATTATATATTCACCGTATGTGCAGATTTATGAGCACTTATAGTGAGTTCTTCACTCGAAGTTTTAAGGGGCTGGCACTGTGGTGTAGCAGGTTAAGCCTCCACCTGCGGTACAGGCATCCTATATGGGTACCAGTTCAGATCCCAGCTGCTCCACTTCTGAGCCAATTCTCTGCTGGTGGTCTGAGAAAGCAGCAGGTGGTGGCCCAAGTGCTTGGGCCCCTGCACCCATGTGGGAGACCCGGAAAAATCTCCTGGCTTCCAAGGCCCAGCTCCAGCCATTGCGGCCATATGGGGGAGTGAACCAGCAGATGTAAGACCTTTCTCTTTGTTTCTCCCTCTGTCTGTAACTCAATCTCTTAAATAAATGAAGAAGAAGAAGGAGAGGAGGAGGAGGAGAGTGAGGAGGAGAGGGAGAAGGAGGAAGGGTGGAGGAGGAGGGAAGAGGGAGGAGGGGAAGGAGGAAGGGGGAGGAAGGGGGAGGAGGAAGAAGAGAGGGAAGAAGGAGAAGGGGAGAGGAAGGAGGCGTAGGGGGGAGGAGGAGGAAGAGGAAAAGGAAAAAGGAGTAGTAGTAGTAGTAGTAGTAGTAGTAGTAGTAGTACTAGTAGTAGTAGTTGTTGTTGTTTTCAAGCAGCTAAAGACTACTGCCTGGAATACCTGTGAGGGTAAGAATTGTGTTTAGCTCGCCATGCTTCCTTGGCATTAGTACTGCATCTGGGAACTAGAGTAAGGCCAGTATTTCTATTCTTTGTTGCCTGATTGTTAACTTATCAGGTTTATGAGGAATGAGATTTACTTTAAGGATCATCCAGATACTAAATTTTCTTATTCTAAAAATAAATTTTGCATTAAATTTTCCAATTATTTTTCTCTGATGAAAATAACAACTAGAAAACAGAAAAGAGGAAACTTTAAAAGTCAAATGAAGTTTCAGCTTTCCAGAAGATATTTGGAATGAATAAGTAGCACAATAATTTTTAAATAATTTATTCCAAGTGATTTGCTAAGACTTTAAAAAATAATCTACTTAAAACATTAAATAGCTGTAATTTATGTTTGTCTCCAATTAACTCAAATCTGTATTGAAAATTTTTCACCTTTAAAAAAAATTAAGTCCTTGGCATTGCAAGAACACAACTGAAAACTAATCTTGTATTTTAAAGTTATTTAATGAAACTTCATTGCCATCATCTATTTAAGGCAAAACAATCCCTGGTACATAAAAATCTTTTTTTGATCATCTAAGATAATCAATCCTTAAAAACAATTAATGACAACTAGATAAGAGTCAATCAAAATTGCACAAAACAGAAGTACTTTATTGACTAAGGGAACTTTGAAACAGAGAAGCATGCCAAGGAAGAAGCTGTTTAAATTATGTTATGTATGAAATGGTTAATTTACCAGATAAAGCCAATGGTAAAGATACTACACGTTCATCTGAAGTGACAGGATGGGGCTACGATGGTCACTATCCACAGAAATGTCAGAGACACCACAAAGACTTCTCTGAGCAGTTATAGTGGGTCACACAAATACAGAAGCCACCTGCCATGCAAAATAGTGACTGGCTGGCATCTGGTTATGTGAGTGACAGCAAGCAATGAGAACAGAGAGTAAGCAGAAGACAAAGCACCACCAATGTCAAGAGTCACTATGTATAACACTCATAATATATAAACACCAAGAAATTACTTAGACAATCCTAGCATTACCTGTTTAAGTTTCATTTTTAGGGTAATAATTTCTAATATAGAAACAGTCTGTTTTTATTAAGTTTAAATGCAAACTTCAAGGTCAGACTGTCCTATCATTTTTAAATGCATAAGTACATAAGTACATTTTTAAATGCATAAGTATTTTAAGTTAATAAATTAAAATTGTATTTGCTAAGTGTAATATTTAGTACCCAATGAGTGAACATGTGCATGAGTAGGAACATTCACTCCAGCCCAGGAGTCAGGAGTCAGTCTACCTTACTCATCCCCAAAAAGTAGAAGTTAAAATATTTTGATTCATAAGGAAAAATTCATATTTAGTTCACCCCAGAAAGAAGCTTAAAAAAGGAAAAAAGTGATATTCATTAGGATTTTAACAGCATTCCTCGAGAAAATTTCTTTAAGAGAAACAAGTTTAATTCAATGAAACAGTGAAAAATGAACATTATACACTAGTATTCACAACAGTGTAACATACAACATAACGCAAGATTTATGGCAAAGGAAGGACTCATTTGACTTTGTAAAATAATTAGAGAGTTAGTAATGTGACAAAGACACTAAAGGTACAACAGAAAGAAGGTGGGATTCAAAACCCACGATTCCTCTTACCGGTGCCATTCGTATTGCTGGGTGTGCTCCGCAGCCCTGAAGTGCTTTATGAAGGGTTTCACCAAACATATTTCGAAGTTCAACTGAGTGGCAATACACAGCATCAATCTTAGGCCACCAATCCAGTGCAGACTAGAGAAAAACAGACCATAGAGGGGAAAACATACAACATTATCTGAGTTGTATGCTCTGGTTATCACTATAATTTTAAGATTTATCCATCCCTGCATCATAAAGTCTCTAAAACCATGCACACACATCCCGTGATTTCCAAAGTCTTCAAATTATGTCCTTAATTCAAATGCTAACCCATACATTTATTCTGAAATAGAATCATGAACATGAGAAAACTTTATGAGTATGTGCATGAGGTTGTTTTTTCTCACTGATAAGCTAATGAATTTGAAAAACAAGGTCTTTAGATAGCTGATTCTGTAGACAATCTTGTTCTTTAATGTTTTACGTATTTCAGAAACACATGCATATACGGTATATATTTTCCCAGATAAGAATACTATTATGAAAGCTTCAAAAGAGATTAATGGTTCAACACAATCTTGAAGGAAAATGTGGCAAACCACTATTTATATGCTTACAAACAACAATGATAATTACAACATGAAATTCATAAATGAGATAAAGCTATTAGTAACCTATCATCTTAAACTGATATGCAATGATGGCACAATACATGGAACACTAATGATCTTCACAAACAAAGACAAACTGGGACCAGCATTGTGGCACAGTGGGTTAAAGCTTCTGCTTGTGAAGCAGCTCCCTACTAACGCGCTGGGAAAACAGTACATGGGACCCTGCCACCTGAGGAGGACGGAGTTCCAGGTTCCTGGATTCAGCCAGGGCAGGTAGCAGACATTGGGGGAGTGAACCAACAGATGGAAAACATCTACCTCTGTCTTTCCCTCTCTGTTCCTCTGTCTTTCAAATAAAAATAATCTCAAAAAAAAAAAAATAGAAAAGACAAACTAATCCCAGCTAAATATTTTTAAAAGTTTATATTAAGTACTTACTTTTCTATGTCCATTTAAGCTCCTTAGCTTTGATGTTGTTTTTAGTGCCAATTTATTTGAAAGTGTATCTTCACTTTTAAATGAATATATTAAAAATGACAATTAAGAAAATCACTGTCTATCAAGTTCATTTATCAGTTAACATTGAAATAATTGGATGATTTTTTATTACATATGGAAAGTATGCGTGAACTGGGATGACTTAAAATACAGGTTTCCAATTTACAATACTCCTATTAAAGAAAGACAGGACAATACTGTATATCAAATAGTAAATAAAGGGGATTTAATAGCTTCCTATTCCCAGGTTCTTTCTTATTCAAAACTAAGTTAAGGGAGTAGGCATTTGATCTAGTGTTTAAGATGCTGGTTTATGTCATCCACATCATAGGAGTGCCTGAGACTGACTCCGGGTTTCTCTCCCAGTTCCATCTTCCACTATATGCTTATCCTGGGAGGCAATAAATAACTAGCCAAATAGTTGGGTCCCTGCAACCCACACAGGAGGCCTGGAATGAATTCCTGGATCCCAGCTCTTGGGCCTGGCACAGCCCAGAACTACTGTGGGCATTTGGAGAGTGAATCAACCAACAGGGGAACACTGTTTCCCCTACATCCTACCCCACACCTCTGCCTCTTACATAAGTAATAAATATGTTTTTTTAAAGACTTATTATTTATTTGAAAGTCAGAGTTACAGAAAAAGAAAGAGAGGGAGGGGGAAAGAGAGAGGGAAGGAGGGAGGGAGGGAGAGAGAGAAGAGAAGGGGAGAAAGAGGAGGGTGGGGGGAGAGAGGGAGGGAGGGAGGGAGGGAGGGAGGGAGGGGGAGAGAGAGAGAGAATGAGAATATCTTCCATCCACTGGTTCATTCCCCAAATGGCTGCAACAGTCAAGGCTGGGCCAGGCCAAAGCCAGGAACCACGAGCTTCTTCCAGGTCTCCTATGTGGATGCAGGGACCCAAGAATTTGGGTCATCCTCTGTTGCTTTCCCAGGCACATTAGCAAGGAGCTGGATCAGACGCAGAGAAGTCGGGACTTGAACTGCATCCATATGGGATGCCAGCAACATAGCAGCTTAACCTGCTATGTCACAGCACCAGCCCCAATACATTTTTTTTAAAAGGGGGGCCAGCATCGCAGCATAGCAGGTAAAGCCGCCACCTGTGATGCTGGCATCTGATATGGGTGCCAGTTCCAGTCCTGGCTGCTTAACTTCTAATCCAGCTCCTTATTAATATGCCTGGGAAAGCAGTGGAGGATGGCCCAAGTGTTTGGGTCTCTGCACCCATGTGGGAGACCTGAAAGAATCTCTGGCTTCAGCCTGGGTCAGCATTGGAGGTTGAGACCATCTGGTTAGTAAACACAGATGGAAGATCTCTGTCCCTCATTCTTGTAACTTTTTCAAATAAGTAAATAAATAAATCATGAAGAAAAAAAAAGCGGAAGTCTCAGTATTTCATTTCTTAGCTCAAACTTCTCAGGATATTTTGAGTAACATCAAGTTATAATGCCTTAACCAAAACAGTTTGTGAATTACAAACTCTACTCACTGGATATTACTGGACAGTAAAATACAAAACCAATTTATGATAATGTAATTTGAGCATTCCACTCAGGAAGCGGCCCTAAAGCAGTGGGGCAAAAAATACCTTTGTTTGCTGTTTTTCGTTTTGTTTTTGTTTTCTAAACATAGCATGGTATTTATGCCCTTCCTTCGTTTCTGACTTCATTTAAGCTAGTCCCTTTAAAAGACTGATTTTTAGTCTGGTGATGTAATGGATTCCTCAGACTCTGGACAGTTTGAATACATGGTTTGCCTAAAGCAACCAATGCATGTTGATTTCTACCTTTTACTACATTTTACAACTGGAGTTACTGAATAAACACAAAGTATACCGAGGGGAGGGTCTTCCTCATCCTACAGATCCCATAAAATTTTGTTGGAAACTCAAAGAGCCAAGCAGCCCATGTAACATCTTACCTGAATTACAGTCATTTTTGATAACTGTTGAAATCGCACTGTGGTAGCAGTACAATTTAGCCTTAAGATTCAGTGATCTTTCACAACTTTTGTTTTTCCTAATATATTAATTCATTCATTTTAAAGACACACTTTCAAATAAATAGGCATTAAAACCAAGACATCATATAATTGGTAAAGAAAAAAAATTTTTAGTACTCTGAGTAGTTACTGAAAGTATCCTTTCTGAACTAGCCAAGTAACTTCCTCTTTTATTCTTCGAAAATTCTAAATCTACTGCCAAATGATAATACTTGTAGAATTTGAGCAAATCATGTAGCAGTTCCTCCAAAGATTAAATAATTTTCAAATGCCTAAGAACCAACTCCTTTAACTACAATCTCTGGGTAGAAAGAGATCATCTCATTCTCTGTAAATGAAAATCAACTCCTGTAGGGAAAAATGGAAATAAAGTACTATTGTATCTACTGCATTTACCGGTAAAGTCTAAGACAGCAGGTCCACATTTGTATTATTTTTAGTTTCCCAACTACATATCTCATTTAACCTAAAGCAAGCCTATAAAGATTAAGTATATAACACAAATCTTAGAGCTGTAATTCATCTTTTATGACATGCCATAATTTAAAAGAAGGGGCCATTTTAGAAACTGCTGAAAACTTGCATTATAAAAATCCAAATAATCAATAAAGAAATCCTAGGAAGAAACAGAATATTTTCAATCTAAACACAGTATTGATGAACCAAATATGAGTGTGTTTCACATAAGCAAAATAAAACTCCAAACACCATCATTAATCCTACATAAACTCTCAAAAATACAAAAATACATCAATAAAACTTATTTGAGAATGTGATAATTAAAAAACAAAAAATATATGAACTAGTTAATGAACCATGGAAGAGAACTTATGGGGTGTATTGAACCAAGAATCACTGATAAAGAAATCTTACACTACAAGTGAATTTAAGATCAGGAGTCAAAGTAGGTAAGAAAAATTTCATGTGATTTTGAGTCATGAAATACCTTCCCAATAATTATAATTGGCTTCAGTAAGACTCTGTAATAGTCAATTCTATAAATTTGCACATTTATTTTATAAAAAGTCCTTTTCTTTTCGGTCAGAAACTACTTCAGATTTAGTATCTATTAGCATCAAACCGAAATAAGGGAAGGAAGCTAAAACACAACTTCCCAAGCAATCGATAACAATAAAGTGTCAGTACCTTAAAGTATGATTTTAAATGATACTTAGGACTAACATTTATGTTCCTTTTCAAACTATTATGACAAAGTTCCTAGTGCTCAATGTTTAAAAATTAGTCAAAGCAGGTCTTCCTTTATAAAAACAGGATTTCCAGATGACTTGACCTCTGATGCAGACACACTCCACCTTCACACATGCAGTTCTCATTTGAGCAGAAGGGATGCACAACCACCAGCACCAAGTACACTGAGGCATGCATGAAGGCTCACTCCAGGCATGCTTAAGACCCAGAAAGGAGCAGCTCAGCCACTTACAGCAGTGCCAAGTCCATGCTTGAAAGTGCTCTATATATTCAATTGTAGACAAAAATATTTCACAATTAAAGTAACTAACCACAAAGCATCAAAAGAGTATATACTTGGGTTTATTAAATACAAATTTTAAGCACTTATATAAAACTATCCATCCTAATAAATGGAATATATTTAGTATGATGAGCCAAAGAGGGAAAAATATTTTATTTCCGAAAAAGGGACTCTCCCCTCTCCCCATTTTTAATGGCCTTGAAAATAAACTTTGAGGGTACAATGTTCTGAGTTCATTACAGTGGCAAAAGTACAGAAATTTAAATTTAAATATTTTAATACAAATATGTTTTATCTACATTGATTCATTAAATTTCCCTTTTTTAAAACAAAGAATATTCAATGTTAACTCTACCTACAGTTTAACTCAGTGATGATCAAAGGAGGTATCATTCTTGAAAGCATTTTTAGTTGTTCATACTGATGAGGGATTGGAGGAATGTGGCACAGAGGGCGCTTAACTGAGGACCAAAGGAGCTAAATGTCTTGCAGTGCACAGGGCAGGTCCTGTGCAACAAAGATTTACACTCCTAAGATGCTCCTGACACCTTAGGGAGGAAAACTCAATGTGTCATTCCATAGCTTTATCAACAGTTATTTTTTCCCTGCAGGAAGGATAAAAGAAAATATGGGCACTTGGTTTTAATTCAAAGCATGCCAGGAAATTGAGGAGAGGAAGGTATTTTTAATACATGAAATACACAGTCTTAAAATAGAATTTTATTATCAACAGGGCAAATATACTAGATTATTACTGATTAAAGTCCTTGCAAGGAAGGAAAACAAAGATGACCAATTTACATGTTAAGTACGATAACCCTCAATGGATCACAGTGGAACTATAAAAAGCACTAGCCGAGGAGCTGGTGTTGTAGCACAGCAGAACAGACTGCAGCATGTGATGCCAGCATCCCCTATCGGAGCGCCAGTCCAAGTCTTGACTTCTCTGCTTCCATCCAGCTACCTGCTAATGCTCCTGGAAAGGCGGCAGACTTTGGTCCAAGTACTTTGGTCCCCTGCCACTCACATGGGAGACAGGATAGGGTTGCCACTTCTAGGCTTTTGACTGACCCAAATCTGGCTGTTTTAGCCATCTGGGGAGTGAACCAGCAGATGGAAGATCCTTCTCTTTCCCTCTCTCTTTTTCTCTCTCCTGCCCTTCCTCCTCCCCTTCTTTTTTCTCTGCTTCTTCTCCCTACCCTCCTCTTTTCTCTCTATGGCTACACCTTCCAAATAAATAAATAAATAAATCTTCTTTCAAAAAAAGTAGAAGATAACACCTGAGAATCTTCAAAATACAATTTAAAGATCCATGGTCCAGGGCCAGCACTGTGGTATGGTGGGCAAAGCCTCTGCCTGTGGTGCTGGCATCCCATATGGGCACAAGTTCATATCCTGGCTGCTCCTCTTCTGATCCAGCTCCCTGCTATGGCCTGGGAAAGCAGTGGAAGATGGACCAAGTGTTTGGGGACCTGCATGGGAGACCCAGAAGAAGCTCGGGGCTTCGGATCAGCCCAGCTCTGGCCATTGCAGCCATTTGGGGAGTGAACCAGCAGATGGAAGACCTTTCTGTCTGTAACTCTACCTCTTGAATAAATAAAATTAAAAAAAAAAAAAAATCCATGGTTCAAATCTCAAAGTTTAGTTATCTTTCTACTTGGTACCTATATCACAAAAAACTTCTAATGAGTTTAATTTTTTTGTCTAATATACTTTTCTATCTTATAAATACCTCTTCTGAAGTATGTTAATATTTCCTTTTGTTTAAGGACTAAAAAGTACAATCAAATATGGTCTCAGCATTTTTTAAACATGCCATATACTTGGCTACAACACAAATACTATCACTTTGCAATCAAGTGATCAGGTAACAAGTTTCAATGTCTCAAGTGCTGCAAGGAGGGCTAAGAGTATTCAAATCAATATGTGAAGGAGCTTTGAGATGAAAACGGAAAATTATATTTTCAGTGGCACTGTTCTCATTTATCTAAATAAAGTGTTATAGATTTAATCTTCCCAGATAATCTTATTAAATTTACCTCAAAAAGGGCCCTCACATCAATGCTGAATATGAAAAGTACAACTACATATCAATTAAAAGATACAATCACCTCGGAGAAATCTTTCTACACCATAATCTAAGTCTAGAACCTTTGTGAAAACCAATAGCATCTTTTTAACAAGGGGAGGGGAAAAAAGGCAATACACACACAAAAGAAAAAAATTCAGTAATTTAGCAATACCTTTTGGACTTACATTGGTGATGATTCGATGCAGTGAATTTACCAGCACATAGTGAAATGTAGAAGGTGAATTCTGAGCCAGGCAGATCTTTAGAAAATAGAAAAATCAGATTATCTTTGTAAGGAAAGTATTCAGTAGCATCAATGAAGACAAAAAGGAACACCAAAAACCAAGTTTTTAAAAAATAAGTTTTTAAGGTCTTGAGGTGAACATGAACATTTAACATTGAGAAATACCGGCAAGAGTATTTTTATCTATTCATCTTTCTAGTCTCTTCACATTTAGAAAGGATAACAGGAACAGTAAACATAGTTGAATAAAAATCAATGCACTCACCTTAAAGTGTTGGTTGTTGTGAGGGCTTATACGAAAGCAAGAAACAAGGCAGTCAATCATCAGATCCACATCCGCAGGCTGACTGCCTCTGGAGAACGGTTTACTTGGATTAAAAAGCAAGTTCTAAAAAAAAATTCCAACAGACAAGAAAGGCCTTTGAGTGGTCATGCAGTACATTTTTACTGGCATGTAATAACATCAGCACACTACCCACAAAGTTGCCAGAAAAAGCAGGAAACACTAATTGTATAGCTCACCAATCTGGTAAGATTCTTACTACACCACACATGACTCCTTTCAGGCCCTAACTTCCACAGTATGTTAAACCCACTTCCATCTATCAGTGCTAATTTAAGGCAACTGGTAACTGAGTTCCTTTCATATTCTCAGTCTATTTAGGCTGATGAACAACAACAATCTAAGTTCCTATGAACTTAGAATCAAAAAAGACTCAGAACTTTGGTGTAGCCCTCTTTGACAGAATTCTTAAAAGTGTGTTCTCAATTTTCTTAAACTTTATAGTAGAGAAAAAATAAGACTACCACCTTAAGATCAACCACCATGGACTGGACCAGTAGGAAAATGACAGAGTTATCTTCCCAGTTGATATAAGTACTTGCTTTACACAGTTTGACACAGGCAATGGCAGCACTTTCTGTTAGCTGCCTGCTTCCTCCGTGGCCAGCAAGTGCTTTTCGTAAACTGTCCAGAAACAATTTCTAGAGAATGCAAAATAAAGAACATGTCAAACTTCTTCTACTTCAAATTTATCTAAGTAGCAAAGAGCTTCTAAAACTCATGAAGAATGAATAATTTATGAGTATTTTTATGGTTTAATTTACTACTTTAAGTAGCTGTCATCATTTACATGTTTCTAAAACACAAAAATCCATCTGTTCTCTGCTTTCTTTATAGAATTATTGCAGGGATATAAGAAATAATCCTTCATAAGCAAATGAACTCAGCACTGTATTCAGTTGATCATAGTTTCTTTGTTATATACTTTTTATTTATTTTTACTTATTTGAAAGGCAGAGAGACAGACAGGAGAGACCTATCCACTGGTTCACTCCACAAATTGCTGGCACAGGCACCCAAACACTTGGCTGCCTTCCAGCGTGCACATTAACAGGAAGCTGGAATTGGAATTAGAGCCAGGACTGGAAGCCAAGCACTCTGATATGGGGTGTGGGCATCCCAAGGAGCATCTCATCAGCTGGACCAAATGTCCACCCCATTGATAAATTTTTAAACACCCAAATTTTATACTGCCTTAGCTATGTTCCATGTCAAATTCTTCTTCTCCTTTCTTACCACCCCACATTATTTATAGTTGATCTTTAGCCTTCGAAATAAGAATATATCCAAGGCTGCTCTGTTGTTCTAAAAAAACAAAACAAAACAAAACAAAAAACAACAATAAAAACTACCCATTCTTGTGATCGCAGTCCCTCTTTACAGCTCACTGGCAAATTTCTTCCCTTGGCTTTTCTCCTAAATTAAAATCTCACATCTCCACCCACATGTATTCCCAACTGTAACACGTCAGAAAGTAACCTAACTCAATACCAGCAGAATATACTGTCTTTTCAAGTGTACATGGAGCATTCTCCAAAAAAGACTATCAGTTGGGTCACAAAACAGGTTTTAATACACTTAAAGAAACTGAAATCATGTATCTTTTTTTATTATAATGAAATGAAGCTAGAAACCAAGAGCAGATGTAAAACCAGAAAATTTACAAATACATGAAAATTGTATAATACAATCTTTAATAATCAAAGGATCAAAGAAGTTACAAAGGAAATTAGAAAAGATCCTGAAATAAATGTAAATTAAAACACAGCATATCAAAACTTATGGGTGGCAGTAAAAGCAGTGCTAAGAGGGAAATTTATAGCAGTAACACTAAGTTTTTAAAGATTGACTTATTGACAGAAAGGGAAGGAAGAATAGAGAGGGAAGGAGAAGGAGAGACACAGAGACAGAGGTCTTCCATCCACTGGTTCACTCCCCAAATGGCCACAACAGCTGAGGCTGGGCAGGCCAAAGACATGAGACTGAAACACCATCTGGGTTTCCCATATGAGTGGCAGAGGTGCAAGCACTTGGGCCTTCTTCCTCTGCTTTCCCAGGCATATTAGCAGGGCGCTGGGTCTGAAGTAGAGCAGCCAGAACTTGAACTGGCACTATCATGGGATGCTGGTGTCGTAGGCATTGACTTAACCTCTGTGCCACAACCCCAGGCCCTAGCCATGAACACTTACATTAAAAAATAAGAAAGTTCTCAAAATAATAACCTAACTGTACATGTTAAGGAACTAGAAAAAAGAAAAGAAAATTAAACCCAATACTAGCAGAAGGAAGGAAATATAAATACCAGAGTGAAGATAAATTAAACGGAGAATAGAAAACCAAAATCAGAAAAACCAAAAGCTGACTGTTTCAAAGGGTCAACATGACTCATGAAGAAACAGAAAAATCAAATACGACTAGTAAGCAGATCAGTAGTGGAAAACCTTTCAACATAAAGCCCTAGAGGGGCCGGCGCTGTGACATAGCAGGTTAAAGCCCTGGCTTGAAGCGCCAGCATCCTACATGGGTGCTGGTTCTAGTCCCGGCTGCTCCACTTCCGATCCAGCTCTCTGCTATGGCCTGGGAAAGCAGTGGAGGATGGCCCAAGTCCCTGGGACCCTGCACCCACATGGGAGACCCGGAGGCAACTCCTGGCTCCTGGCTTCAGATCGGCGCAGCTCTGGCCATTGAGGCCATCTGGAAAATGAACCAGCAGATGGAAGACCTCTCTGTCTCTTCTTTTCTCTTTAACTCTCTTTCAAATAAATAAAATAAATCTTTTAAAAAATAAATAAATAAAACCCTAGAAGGAAACCCTAGCACAAATGACCAATTTTTAAAAAAATATTTATTTATGTATTTGAAAGGCAGAGTTAAAGAGGCAGAGGCAGAGAGAGAGAGAGAGACAGAGAGGTCTTCCATCCAATGGTTCACTGCCCCCCTTCCCAGATAGCTTCAACGGCCAAGGCTGAGCCAATCCGAAGCTAGGAGCCAGGAGCTTCTTCCAAGTCTCCCAAGTGGGTGAAGGGGCCCAAGGACTTGGGCCATCCTCCATTGCTTTTCCAAGCTATAGCAGAGAGCTGGATTGGAAGTGGAACAGCCAGGACTCGAACCAGTGCCCACATGGGATGCCAGCACTGCAGGTGGTGGCTTTACCTGCTATGCCACAGTGACGGCCCCAAATAACCAATTTTTGACAAGGCTGCTGTGACCATTCCATAGAAAAAGGACAGTCCTTTAACAAATGGTGATAAAAAGGACCAGTGTTGTGGTGTAACAGGTTAAGCCACTGCCTGTGATGCTGGCATCCCATGTCAGAGCTCCCATTGAATTCTCAGCTGCTCTGTTTCTGATCTAGCTCTCTGCTAATGTGCCTGGGAAAGCAGTGGAAGATGGCTCAAATACTTGCCCCACCCCCCTCCACCTACCTGGGAGACCCAGACAGATTTCCTATCGCCTGACTTCACCCTGGCCCAACCCTGGGGCATTGTAGCCATTTAGGAGTGAACCAAGGGATGGAAAATCTCTTCCCTCTCTCTCCCTAACACTCAGTCTTTCAAATATAAAACAAACCTCTAAAACAAACAAATGGTGCTGGGAATATTGGACATACACATGCAAAAGCATGAAGTTGGACTCTCCCTTTACATCATATATAAAATTATCCCAAAAGGAATCAAAGATCTAAATGTAACAGTTAAAACTATAGAACTTCTAAAAGAAAACATAGGAGAAAAAAATCTACAACATTGGATTTGGTGATGATTTCTTGGCTACAAACAAAAAAAATACAGACAACAAAAGAAAAAAAAACAGATAAGCTGAACTTCATCAAAATTAAAAAGTCTTATATATATCAAAGGACACTATCAAGAAGGAGAAACAGCAATCTACAGAACAGGAGAAAATATTTACAAATCATGATATGGGATTTGCAAAAAGATGAGAAGGGATTAATATTCATAATATATAAAGAACTCCCACAACTCTAGAGAACACCAATTCAAAAGTGAAAAAAGGACTTTCATAGAGATTTCTCCAAGGAAGATACATAATAGACAATAAGGTTATAAAAAAAAATGCTCAACACCATTAAACAACAGGGAGATGCAAATCAAAACCACAATAAGCTGCTACAACATATCCATTCGGATGTCCATTATCCAAAAAAAAAAAAAAAAAAATCAATGTTTGGAGTGGACATGGACAAACAGGAACCCTTGTGGACTGATGGTAGAAATTCAAAATGGTAGAGCAACTTGGAAAACAATATGGTGGTTTCTAAAAAAAAAAAAAACTTCTGAAAGTTTGCTTTTAGGATGAACTTTTTTCCAAATTTATTGAGGCACTATTGACCAAAAAAATGATATATATTTAAGGTATACAACATTATGTTTTGTTATACAAGGTGAAATGATTACCACAATGAAGTAAATTAACATACCCATCGCCTTACATAGTTACCTTCAGGGAGGGCATGAAAACACTCAAAAATTAGAAAGACTAAAAACAGCTGGATGCATATGCAGCAAAATGGGTATTCTAATTTTATTTTGGTAAAAACAGGGCCTGCTATCACTACTGGGGAATGTAAATCTAAGAATAACTATTAAAAAGTTTAAATATGGGGCCAGCACTGTGATGTAGTAGGTTAAGCCTCTGCCTGCAGTGCTGGCATCCCATATGGGCACTGGTTCATGTCCCAGATGCTCTTCTTTCAATCCAGCTCTCTGCTATGGCCTGGGAAAACAGCAGAAGATGGGCTAAGTGCTTGGGCCTCTGCACCCATGTGGGAGACCTGAAAGAAGTTCCTGGCTTCAGATCAGCCCAGCTCCAGCCTTTATGACCATTTGAGGAGTGAACTAGTGGATGGAAGACCTCTCTCTCTCTCTGTCTCTCTTTATCTCTACAACTCTATCTTTCTAATTAATTAATAAAACACATTAATATTTATTATGTAAGTATATACATTTATAAATATCATTTTATATTATTTATATACAAATATGTATTATATATAAATGCCCTTGACAGAGAAATCCCACTTTGGGTTTTTTTTATTCTAAGAACTAACAATTATTTAACAAGAGGGGTAGGCTGTTGCAAGTATTTGGGGAGTGAACAAGTGGATCAAAGATTCTTTTTGTTGCTCTGCCTTTCAAATAAATAAAAAATTTAAAAATCACTAAATAGTTAACAAGACATACATATAAAATTTTTTACTGAAAAATTAACTATATGCTAAAAAAGTAAAAAATTGGAATATTTTTCCATTCTTTATGAAATGACTGGGTAAATGAGGCTCATTAGTGTAACAGAATATTGTCAAATATTAAAAGCAATGAGTTAGACCCACTATTAGGAGGAACAGCCAGAATACATCATCTTTGGTAAATAAAGCAAGATGCAGAATAATATGCATAATATGATCTCATTTTAAAACCTAATCACGGCCGGCGCCGTGGCTCACTAGGCTAATCCTCCACCTTGGGGCGCCAGCACACCAGGTTCTAGTCCCGGTCGGGGCGCCGGATTCTGTCCCGGTTGCCTCTCTTCCAGGCCAGCTCTCTGCTGTGGCCAGGGAGTGCAGTGGAGGATAGCCCAAGTCCTTGGGCCCTGCACCCCATGGGAGACCAGGAGAAGT